CGGGCCGAGGCTTTGGGTAAGGTTGTGAAGTGATCTCTCCAGCTGTTTCCTAGCTCTCCTTTTTCTTTGGAAGGGACTCTTTGTCCTTTAGGGTGCTTTGGGGAAGGTAGCCAACCAGGTGGTCATGTTCTGAGTAGGAAATGGGAGGTCAGGAGAGTGAGGTAGGGAGGGTGGAGGAAGCCCAGCTTCTGAGAATTGCCATCACCGGGATGGCCTGCTAGGGACGTGCCTGTGAAGAACTGGGTATGAAGAGAGAGAGTCATGGATTCTGCTCCTTGACCCTCAATATCTATTCCCACTACTGCCTCCCCAAGGCCTGGACTTCCATTTACCTTCCACTCATCTAGGGCTTTACCTCTTGCTAAAATGTAAATATTTCCCGAAGGCCTAGATAGTAAGCCCTTAGAAGAGTGGAGGTGATCTTGCTGCTTTGCCTGGGGCTGAGTCTAGAGGGAACAGGGGCCCAGAATGGGTTAGCTTTATAAGGCTGGAGAAGGAGGAGAAGGGTCTGGCTCTTGGGTGGAAGTGTTAGGGTGGGGGTCCTATGTGGTTGGAAATTCAGTGCAATTTGGGGGTTGTAGTGACTGCTGGAGGAACTAGTAATCCTCAGAGAGGGCTGAGGGGACCAGTAGTCCTGAGATTACTACTTTTACATGTGGTTTAGAGCTCAGTGAACTAGAAGGTCCTGTGAAGCCTCCCCCCTGCCAAGGGAGAGTTAAGGATCTCAGCAGAGGTCCAAGGTGGGCAACACAAAAGCCACAGGAAAGCCTGAGCACACAGGCTAATTAGATTCTACCTTTCCCTCCTGCTGGCTGGCCTGATATTTGATGTGACATTTAAAGCCATTGTCCAGACGTGTGGTGGGACACAGATAGAGTGGACGCTTTCTGGAGCCTTTGCACAGAGGAGGCTGGTTTCTGTCTCTTGCTGGGCAGTGTCTCAGGCCCACCTCTGCTTTCCACAAGAGCCCCATCTAATCCTTCACCCTCCCTACCTCACCCTCCTGATCTCCCGTTCCCTACTCAGAACATGACCACCTGGTAGTGCCCTTCCCTATTGGACTCCCGGTGTGTACGCAGGTGAGGTAGGTTCTAGAATTCAACCGAAATAGTTAAATGAAGTCAGTGCTGAGGGTAAGAGGAGAGCAGCGACAGAGGCAGGGAGATCACCATCTCAAAATCATCTGGGGAGCTTGTTAAAAATGCAGACCTCTGAGAGTGAGGCCTGGTTATCTGCATGGATAACCAACCCTCTAAGGTGATTGTGCTGCCCATTAAACTTTGAGAACCTTTGTGATAGAGAATGTGTGATAGAGAATTCCAGGTTAGCTGGAAAAGGCCTCCCGGGAGAGGCGGACTTGAATTTCAGTGTGTAAGTGGTATTGTTTTAGGTACTGTCCTCAGGTGTGGACCTAAGGAGCTTATTCACCTGGGGACACTATGATGTCATAGGAGAGAATGGCAGGTGTCCATCCCATCCCCTGGGTGGTATCTCTGAGAACGTGTTGTCACTAGCTTCCCTTTGGCACTTGGTGCTAATCTCTGAGGGGACAGAAGTGCTGTGGGAGGTGGCTGAGGATGGTGTCTGCTGGAGGGTTTGGTTCATGTTGCAATTGAAGTGCAGCTTGCAGGGCAAAATGGCAGCCTGGGGGAGCCCATTTCCGCTGGTGGGGTGGGGGAAGAGCACTATGTCTGTGGACAGTCTTCTCTCTAGTTTGTAGGCACTTGAAACTGTGTGACCTCTAGTGTGGCCTTCACTTGTCAGATAGCTCCCTGTGTTCGTGGGGCTGGCCAGTCTCCTGAGGGAACGGTGGTCATTTTTGTCCTGGGAGAGGAGTGGGAAAGATTTGGGATGTGATGGATTCTCTCCTCCCTCAGTGCTGCTTGCCTTCTGCTCTGTGCACTTGTGCCGGCTTTATCTGATCAGGAACACAGTGTTTTCCTGTTGGGGCGGGTGGAGAGAGGGGGAAAGAATGGTGCCAAGGGTAGGAGAAGGAGTGTCGAAGGGAGAGAAGCACGTCTCTGAGATGACACTGAGTATCCACCGAGGATCCAGACGGGCGCCTGCCCTCTGCAGTGGATGGGTGCTGCTGGCCTGCAGACATTGCCTGTCCCTGGAGAACATGTCTCTGCAGCTAGCTGGGTGGGCTGGAGGAACCATGCCAAATGGGAATGGCGGTGCTTGCTTTGACCATGGTGAAAAAAGGGGCCACTGTGGAAGCATTGTTTAAGACAAAGCGACAACAGAAATCTCCTAATAAGGCTCTGTCCTGGCCAATATCCTGTCCTTTCTAATTGCACTGCAGCTAAATGGCTACTCTGGCAGTCTCTCAGAACATTTTATTCAACTTCTGAGGGGCTGCATTGAAAGTGAGGCTTATGAGACTCTGTGGGAGTTGGGGAAATGAGCGGTGGTGGGCTGGGGAGCACCCAGGAGCCCAGCTGGATGGGTTGAAGCCAATCTTGAGTCAAGTTCTGGGCTGAATGGGTCCCCCCTGGACTGACCCAGTGGGCAGTGCTTATGTTCTTGGGTTCACTGTGTGCGGGGGAAGTGCTTGCACCCATATTGTTCTCTATCAGTCTTTATTCCCTTTCCCCCAGAAAATGTGGCTGTGTGGAATGTTTTGCTCTTGACTGCTAGATGGAAGTGAACAGAGCCCGCTTCCTTCTCTAGGCCCAAACATGGAGCGTGGACTAGGAGCCTCAGCACCGTTCGGATGCTCCGCACAGTGCCCCCCGGGGCACTGGCACTTCAGTCTCACAGTCAGGTGCTCTTCCCACAGCTGTCTAGGTCTCCTGCCATGCTAGGAGCCTCTCATTTCAGATTTCTCTTGAGTTGTGTTTGGAAACATCTGTTTTGATGTTCTTATTTGGAGATATACTCTTTGGGCAGCCATGTGCTGGGGGCCAAAGGAAAAGATCAAAGTTTCTTGATTAGTAAGTGGCCACGCTCAGACCCTCTACTCATCTGTGTGCTTGAGGCAGATCAGGATCTCCCTGGAGGGACCTCCAAAGGACTGCTGTTGGCAGACAGATCTGTCCCACTGTGAGGGCTTCCATCTCTCCATGAAAGATGGCCCAGCTTCCACAGGGAACTGAGCCCGGGGAAGTTTCGTAGGGAGGGATAAAGACTGTACCTGGACACTATTTGACCTCATCCAAGTTGTTTAACCTCTCAGAACATGGGTTTTCTCTTCTGTAGACAGAGGAAAGTGATTCCCATCTAACAGAACTTGCAGAGCCATTAAGAGGCCCAAAGGAGATGATGGATGTGAAAGTACTCTGTGAACTAAAAAGTACTGGCCACACTGAGTGATGGATTCTTGTTATTCACAGAAGGGGAGACTATGGGTCACTTCTTTCTGGAGAGAGGAGGGGGGCTTTGCATTCTTGTGTTAACTGCTTGCTGGAATCTTGTCCATTTAAGGTAATAGCAAAATAATACTAACAGAGTTGGAGAGGTAGCTTCTTGGGTGGTGGTGTCTCTGCGGTATCCCAAAACTGCCCTTTGTGAAGGAACCAGGAGGTGGCAATGGGGCTGAGTAGGGGCCAGTGGGTGGAGATTGTGGCTCTGCCCACTCTCTCCCTCCACCTCCTAACTCCTACTCGCAGATATGCCCTCTCTGCCTCACTTTGAGTTCTTTAGAAATCTGTAGCCTGCCTCATCTTGGAGTTCCCAGGAAGAGTGGATGCTGAGGGAGGCCTGCTCCTGCCAGCCATGATGGAGTCCAGGAGGCTGGAAGGCCAACCTCTGTGTTAGGATGTGAGAAGCCCTTGCTGGCATGGCTTAAGCTGAATGAAAGCTGCAATGATTGTGCACATGGATAGTTTTTAGGCTTGGAGAACAAGGTTGTCCCAGACCTGAGGCTCCCTCAGGTTTCATTTCTCTGAGCAGAACTTTTAGCTACTAGAGTCACAGCCTCACCATGTGTATGACCAGTCTGCTATAAGAGTGGTTCTGAGGAGGGCAAGGACAGGGCACTCAACCATCCTTCTGCAGGCCTTGCCCAGTGCCCAGGGGCAGAGGCTCCCCAGTCCACACTTCTCCCCGCCGTTAAAACCAAACGGTATGGTTCCCAGACTCCCTTTCTTATTCATTCATTCAGTAGCAACCACTTGAGCACTTGTGAAGTCCAGGTCACTATACTAAGTACTTTGGGGCACACAAAGATGAATAAGAGGCAGATGCTATCCTGATAGAATTTATGGTCAAGGAAGAAGAGACATGCCAAGGAGAAAGTGAAGTGAAATGATGAGGTGTGGAGGAGGGATCAGGGAAGGCTGCCGGTTCATGGCATCTGAACTGGATATTGTAAAATTAGGAAGAGTTGGCCATTGTGAGAAGGAGGACTGGGGATGGAGTGCACTGGCAGAAAGTGCAGGTACAGGCCCTGGAAGGGGAACCCAGGGTTAAGTGTGGGGAGCTGAAGTTCTGGCATGAGAGAAAGGGTGGGAAGGCTGGAGAACCTTCTTCTGCCATAGACTACCAGGTGCCCAGCCAGAAATGCTGTATTCCTCCTCAGAGGAGGAAGCTGTCACTGGTAGTAAGTGGTAATCAGGATTAGAACCCATGGCTTTGGGGCCTCAGAGCCTAAGCTGTCTCTCCTCTCGTTGGATTCGTGAAGGGGTATAGGAAGAAAGAGTCTGCAGCCTTTTTCTGGGCATGGGGGACTCGCAGTCTTGGGCAAGAAGTACCTCAGGAACCCCAAATGAGGCAGTTGGGCTCCCAGCCTGCGGACTGGCTCTGGAGTCTGGATGGCAAGTGTCTGGCTTCTCAAATTCTTGGTCCAGTTGGAAGAGTCAGTGGCCTCTGTGTGGGAGGCAGGGGAAGCCAGGATGGCGGGAGATACTGGAATGAAGTTTAAGATTTGGCCTTGACTGTGGATTTTCATTCCCAAGACCACCTCAAACATCACTTCTTTGCAAAAGCCCTGCCTGACTCCCTCCCCCGCATCTCCGACCTCCCCTTGGGTCCATGTAGGCTCGGTCTGCACACGGCGTTGTTCTGCACTTGTTCCTTTGTTGCTGTGAAACAGGCTCCCGGCACAGTCAGCCTCTGTGTGGGAGGACTGGTGGCTGTCGTTGCAAGCAGGCAGTTGCTTAGAGCAGGCTGCGTGTGAGCTCAGCATCCAGCGATTCCGGCCTCCTCGAGTCGGTGGTGGTGGGATGAGGCTCTGCCCAGGGGACTGGCTGTGAAGGATGAGTTCAGGGTGGGATGACGGACCGCTTCTGGGACCAGTGGTATCTCTGGTATCTCCGCTTGCTCCGGCTGCTGGATCGAGGTATCCTGACTGTGTGTGTGCTCACGTGTGAGTGTGTGTGTGTGTGTGTGTGTGTGTGTGTGTGTGTGTGTGTGAGAGAGAGAGAGAGAGAGAGAGAGAGAGACTGAGACTAAGATATAGAGACACAGAGGAAGATTGCAGAGAAGGGGGTGGGAACAAAAAGAAGCCATGGAGCTGCTGCAAGTACCAAACCTGTGGAAAGTCAAGGAAGGCTGTGTTTGTGGGGACAGGTGTGACTCAGGGGGAAACCGGGGAGCACAGAGTCACTTGGGGAGCAGCTATATAATAATATCACTTTTTCTGCTGGACTTCTCATTGGGTGCAGTACCTTAGTCAAAGACAAGTTAAACCCTGTCTCGTCAGGTCCTCCGTGGAGCCTCTGAGAAGCTGGGAAGGAAGAATGGCACCTGTGGCAGGAAGCTGGGAGCAAGCCAGTGTCCTCCTAAACCTCAGCTCTGCCACTGACCAGCTCTGTGATCTTGGGCTGATTTGTGTGACCTTTCTGAGTTTGTTTCCCCATCTGTAAAATGGGCATGGCAGGATCTGCCTGCTGTGGTTGTTGTGGATTTATGATTAGATTCATGCTTACAAAAACGCATAGCATCATAGCTAGTATGCATAGTAGGTGCTCAGTAAATTCCATGTTCCTCAACAGCACGGAGCTACAGAACCTGTCCCAAGGACAGCTGCCTGTGTTGGTTATCTGTAGAGAGACTGGTACAGAATTTGTGGTTAGTGAAAAGAAGAGAGTCAGCTTTATTCCTCAAGTTAATCTGACCTTAATGTATTTCACTGTTAATTATTAATGAGCTCAAAATCTGGCAATGTCACACAAATCCAGAATTCTATGGTAAGGAAAAGGCACTGTGAACTTTGTTTAGTAATTGATTTTAAAAAAATGTTTAATGTTATTTTTAAGAGCTCTGGCTCCTTTAATAAGTTTTGGTAATAATGAGACTAAACCCCTGATGGAAAAGATGGCCTTGGGAAAGCCCCACTGCATACTCCAAGGAATGTTAATCTCCATCAAAGACAGTCTTAGGTGTGCCAGGAGGTCAATGCCAGGTGGAAGCAGAGAGCTTCCCAGAGAAGGAGAACCAGGCTGTTTATCGGGGAGAAATCAAAGATGGAGGAAACCAAACCAGCAAATGCAGAAAGCAGTCTTTCACTAGTATTGGGAAATAGACCCTAGAGAGCCCAGACCTGGGGTGAGGTGAGGATGTTAAGAAGAGAGCCACAAATTCATAGTGGTGGATATCATAGATCGAGGAAAGGGAAGAAGACTACCCCTTTATCTGTGTGACCTCTGGCAAGAAATTTAACCTCTCTGTGCCTCCTTTCCTTTGTTTGTAAGAAAAAATGATGATGAGGACAGTAGTAGTACCAACCTAGAGGGATTGCTGTAAGGGTCAAGTGAGAGGCTGTGAGTGAACACTTGTCCCAGTGCCTGGCATGAGCAAATTATCCTTTAAATGTTAGTGTCTATTATTATTATTATTTTTTAAATATATTTTTTTAGTTGTAGTTGGACACATATCTTTATTTATTTTTATGTGGTGCTGAGGATTGAATCCAGTGCCTCACAGGTGCACAGTGGGCGCTCTACCACTGAACCACAGCCCCAGCCCCGTTAGTGTCCATTATTAAGACAGTTAATTCTTACTCTCCTACAAACATCCTGGAAAAGAAAGGAACAGGTGGTTTGTGATAACCAGGAGCTGAGAAAGGTCCAACTAAGAATTGTTAGAGGCTTACAGACAATTTATATTGAAATGATCCAAACTAGAATATGATGCTAATTCTAAGAAGAAATGAGATGGTAATGTATAAGTTATAATCATAATTTATTTTCAATTTTTACAAAATGCTTGAATCTATGAATTGCAAACTTGGTTTTCAATTGGCTGGCTCTGTTACTCTCTAGGAGCCCTTGAGTAAGTGATCTACCCTTGATTCGTTAGTCTAAAAAATGGGAATATTAATAATAGTTACATGATAGAATTGGGGTGGGGGGAGTGTATCATGTTAGTCCATGTAAAAGTGTCCTGCCTAGTGCATTTATGGATTGGGAGATTAACCCATCTTCCTGCTTGCCAGAACTGTGTGTTTGGTCACCATGTGTGGCTATAATTTAATTTCAAGGTTTATGGTCTTTTATACAGTGTCTCTAGAGTTTTCCTTAATGTGAGGCTTTAGGCTAGCAGCTCCTGACTTCAGGGCCTCTGATTTCCAGTCTTGGGGGGTTGGGTGTTGATGTTCAGTTCTAGTTAATGGGTATTAAGGTATTGGACACATCCAAAGTGCCTACTCCCATTAAACTCAAACTGGATTTTTGGATATAGCAACCTTCGTAACTAAGGTGAGCTAACATTGCATTGAGAGTGGCATGCTTCACAGCCTGCGCCTGCTCGGGGGAAATGCTTGGTAAATACTTGTTGAACAAATGAACATGTGAATGATGAGCCTGCCTTTTGGAGCAGTGAACAAATTTCTCTTGGATCTCTAGGGGAACAGAATTAGCTCCCTTCATCTGTTTTAGGATTTTACATCATGTTGCCCTCATCACTGTTGTGCTTATGTCATCTTGAAAGAAACAGACCTCAAGAAAGTGAGGAGGAAATAGAAGACAAGAAGAGGTGGGCAATGATGATTTTAGCCCAGGAAATTGAAATAATCGACTGAGCTTTGTGCCAGCCTGAGTCATCCAGTTGGCTGCGAGGGGAGGATAAATGAATCTGAGACTTGACACACCTAGGAAAAGGGAGGAAACATTAGCGTACATCACGGAGCAGCAATAAACTTTACCAAAAAGTAACAGTGTGTGCCTGCTGATGGCAGACCCATCTTTCACCGCCCCATCATTGTTCAGTTAAGGGTAAGGATTTTAAAAAATAAAAGGTATTGTTCTCTAGGACTCTGCTAGGCTATAATGCAAGGATTTACGTGATAATGAACTGCCAGCTTGCTCAGACATTGTATTTTGATGATTTATTCTCATTAATAACAGATGCTGTTTCTATCGTGTGTTTCACTGGGCGTTCGTCAACTCCACCGACTGTGGTCCCTGCTCACAGGCATTGACTAAGGAGATGCTTGCCATCATGGGGACTGTCCCTTAAAAGTAAAGAGCTCACACAGATAGGAAACAGAAGTAATGCTGCCTGTAGTTGTTGTTGAGCTTTGGTGTATCTATGGGGACCTGACAAGTAAGGTGGGGTTTGCATTCCTGTGTTTGTATAAAGTTTTTTATTTTTTTTGTAGTGAAGGGAGAAGAGTGAAAGACTGATGCTCTTTATTCATAGAACCTCAGGCAGTGTTTCCCCGGAGCGGCAACACCCACCAGTGTAGCCCATGAGATGATTTGAGGTGATTTATAGATGTTGCTTGAGCTCCTCTTGCTGCTCATTGCCTGGTACAGTCTGGAGGACAGTTTATTTTGTCCAGTGCCACCTTCTGCTGGGATGTCACCCTTGCCCTCACTCCATCCAGTGCAGGCTCTCTTGGGCTGGCCTGTTTCCTCAGCTCCTGCTGCTCAGACCTGTTCTTTCTGTCCCTGCTGTTCCTTTCAAGGCCTAGCCTCATGCTACCTGCTGCCTGCACCCGCATTCCCTGGGGTTCCTCTGTGATTCTCCAGCCCATCTCCAGGCTTCTACCCTTCACTGAGCCTACATCCTCTCCCTACCTTGCCCTCTGACTCTGAATGCCTTTTCCTTTCCAGAGCCACCATCTCTTCTTCTTTCATTGATGACTTTTTTTTTCTTTTTGCCTTCCCCCCCGTTTTCCCGGGTTTTTTTTAAAAAAAAAGTTAATTGAAAACAATACCAAAGAAATCAGAGTGTAAGAGGTATGTGGAAATGGTGCAAATGGTTATACAAGTACAAAAAATGACTGATGTTTGGAAAATCTAAGTGATAGGTTGAACTTATAATGTAGGTTTTAGGCTGCTTATTTCTTATTGATGCTTTGTCGGCATTCCAGTGGCTACCACAAAGTGCTTGGGACTCTGGACCAGAGAGCAATTGGTTCTCAACCCTGATGGACATTGGAATCATCTGGGAGCACTTAGAAAGAACAACGTCCACATTCTCCTTTCCAGCCCTCTCCCTAGTCAGCTGAAAGAGAATTGCTGCAGAGAGGGCTGAACGCTGTTATCTTTGAAGAGCTCTGCAGGTGGTTCTGAGGTGGCCCAGGGCTGGGACTGCTCATTGCCATCCTTTAATATGATGCCAGAGAGTAAAGGCAGAAGACTCTGGGGCAAAATAACAAAACAATTGAGATAATCAGTCACTATGTGAGAAGAGTAAACACAGGAGTAAACACGGGAGTGCACTAAGGAACAACATGTAAAAGAACGTGGTTCTTTGGGTATAATTCATGCAACTTTCTTTAGAACAATAACCATTTTCTATCACTACTAACTAAGTCTTGACTTTCCTTCATATTCTAGGGAAATGAATTTACCTGTGCCCCAGGAGGTTGTCTGGCCCCAACTTGTTTTGGGTTTGTAACTCTCAGTTCTGGCCGCCTAGGATTTTGGACATAGGATGGTCATTTGTTATTATAGATGTCAAAACCCTTTCCTTACTTGCTTAGCATAGCTCATACTAGGTGATAGGTGGGCATTGCCCATGTTCTGCTAGAATCAGAGAAAGGAAAACCCTGTTCTATCTTCAGGAGACCTGGGAAGTAAGGAGAATACCTGTCTACAAGCCTGTGTGATGTTGGGCCCTACAATGGCCAGGAATTTCCTTGGGTTTTCCACTAAGTTTCACCTCTCCCTTATTGACCATTCTCTGCTGTCTCAACCTTCGTATTTCCCAAACATTCAATGCAAGGATGGATTCTTCCCAGGTGCAGAGCAGGGTCAGAGGCAGCTGTACCACATGGCCTTGGTATCAGGGGTCCTGAACTTTGTGCTTGCCTCCTCCTTTGGTCTTATCCTTTCTGTGCTTGTGCCTCTTCCTGGTCCCTGATTCCTTTCACTGACAGGTGCCCTGTCT